GGGAGCCCCCGACGGGCCCCCCGGAACTGCCGCCGGGGTCCGCGCTCAACTTCCACGACAGACCCCACAGCGGCGCCCCCACAGCCCCCGGGCGGCCCCGGCATCGGAGGGCGGGCGCCCCCCACTTTGGCCCCCAGACTCCGGGTCCGGGTTGACCACAGACCCCCCGCGCGTCTGCCCGCGGACCCCGCCGTGACCGCCGCCCGCGCCCGGCCGGGCCCCGCACTCACCATCGCCCCGCGCCCGGCGCCCCCCTGCGCGACCCCGCCGGCCGCCCGCCCACCCGCCGGCCACTCCGCGGCGTCCGCGGCGGTTGCAAAGGTGCTCACAGCCACTTCCGCTTCTGGCGCGCCTCCCGGGCGCCGTCGTCCGAGTGCGCAGGCCCGGACGTCAGCAACGCGACGGCCCCGCCCGCGGCCGCCGCCACCGCCTCCCGGCGCCGCCATCTTGGCCGCCGGGGCCGCGGGTTCGCCGGGAGCATGGCCGCGCCGGGGCGCCGCTTCCCCGAGGGCGCCGCCACCTCGTCGGCGGAGTCCGTCCGGCGGCCGCTCGTGCGGACGCGGAGGTGGAGGCGGTAGGGAGGCGCGACTCCCGGGGCACCCGGCGCCATGAGGAGGCCGCGCGGGCAGCGGCCGGCCGGCCGGCGGCTCCGGGGGGCGAGGCCGGGCGGGGGGTCGGCTCCGTGCGCCGGGGGCTGGCGCTGCAGGCCAGTCGCCGGGGAGGGCGGCCGCTCGCGGACCTGCCGGATGGAGTCGCTCTCCTCTCCGCAGTCACTGTCCACGTCTCCCACCGCTTGGCTTTTCATCTTTATTGTTGAAAGGAGGGCATGGGCCCTCCGGCCCTCCCGCCCTCCCGCCCCGGCCGCCCCCCGGGTGTCTGTGTCCGTGGGCGACGCGTGTGTGCACACGAGGTCTCTGACGATGGCTCCCCTCCCCGCCTGCAGGCTGTGCCCGCTTCTGTGCCTCTGGATCTGTTCTGTTCAGCAGCTGATTTTGTTCCTCCGAGTCCACGGCTGAGGGCGATCATGGGTTACTGTCTTTCTCTGACGCACGTTTTCACGGCGTTCGGGCTCCGAGGGAAGCGTCTGCGCCCTGTCCCGCTCCCATTCCTTGCAGGTCAGCCGGGCAGCGGGTCAGCTTCCGGGCCTTGCAAGGGGTCTCGCCCTGCAGGACGGGGCGGCCCGGTCAGCCTCCGGGCCTTGCAAGGGGACTCGCCCTGCAGGACGGGGCGGCCGGGTCAGCCTCCGGGCCTTGCAAGGGGTCTCGCCCTGCAGGAAGGGGCGGCCGGGTCAGCCTCCGGGCCTTGCAAGGGGTCTCGCCCTGCAGGACGGGGCGGCCCGGTCAGCCTCCGGGCCTTGCAAGGGGACTCGCCCTGCAGGACGGGGCGGCCGGGTCAGCCTCCGGGCCTTGCAAGGGGTCTCGCCCTGCAGGACGGGAGCGCCGTGCACAAGAGAAGGGGCTGGAGCCCAGCCCCACGTAGACTTGGGATCTGCTCTGACCACCGGCTTCACCAGGTCCTCCGCCAACCAACCCCCCCCTCCATCACCACCACCATCGCAGTGTACATTTGCCTTGTTCCCGTTGAAAGCATTTCATACATATCCAGCCATCTCCCCAATAAAAGTAACTTTTTACATTTAAATGATGTACAATAAAGAAAATCTATACAGGTCAGAGCTAGACATCCCCTTGGCCACGCTCTAGCCTGGGCAACTATGGAGGTTAAATGAGATACAGTATGTCAGCGTTAATTTAATTTTTTCAGATTTTAAATGTTCTTATTGATTTGACAGAGAGAGAGGAAGGGAGAGGAATAGAGAGATGGAAACATCGACGAGAGAGAAACATCATCAATTGGCTGCCTCCTGCACACCCAGAGTAAATGTCCACATTCAGAGTAACTATAGTTGTTCTTTAAGATGAAAATGGTGTTCCATGAAAAAAAAGTGGCTAGTTTACTAGTAGCTCACAACACAAACTATCATTGGAGTACTTTTCCTCGAGACAATTCTTTTTTTTATTATTAATTAAATCTTTATTGTTCAGATTATTTGTTCCTCTTTTTTCCCCCATAGCTCCCCTCCACCCAGTTCCCACCACACCCTCCTCCCTCAGTCCCCACCCACTGTCCTCATCCATAGGTGCACGATTTTTGTTCAGTCTCTTCCCGCATCCCCCACACCCCTTACCCCCCTAATAGTCAGTCCATTCCCTTTCTATGCCCCTGATTCTATTATAATCACCAGTTCATTCTGTTCATCAGATTATTTATTCACTTGATTTTTAGATTCACTTGTTGATAGATGTGTATTTGTTGTTCATAATTTGTATCTTTACCTTCTTCTTCTTCTTCCTCTTCTTAAAGGATACCTTTCAGCATTTCATATAATACTGGTTTGGTGGTGATGAACTCCTTTAGCTTTTTCTTATCTGTGAAGCTCTTTATCTGGCCTTCACTTCTGAATGATAGCTTTGCTGAGTAAAGTAATCTTGGTTGTAGGTTCTTGGCATTCATCACTTTGAATATTTCTTGCCACTCCCTTCTGGCCTGCAAAGTTTCTGTTGAGAAATCAGCTGACAGTCGTATGGGTGCTCCCTTATACATAACTGACTTTCTTTCTCTTGCTGCTTTAAGATTCTCTCTTTGTCTATTGCTCTTGGAATTTTAATTATGATGTGTCTTGATGTGGTCCTCTTTGGATTCCTTTTGTTTGGGGTTCTCTGTGCTTCCTGGACTTGTAAGTCTATTTCTTTCACCAGGAAGGGGAAGTTTTCTGTCATTATTTCTTCAAATAGGTTTTCAATATCTTGCTCTCTCTCTTCTTCTGGCACCCCTATAATTCGGATGTTGGTACGCTTGAAGCTGTCCCAGAGGCTCCTTAAACTATCTTCATATTTTTGGATTCTTTTTCATTTTGCTTTTCCGGTTGGGTGTTTTTTGCTTCTTCGTATTTCAAATCGTTGACTTGATTCTTGAGATCCTCTAGTCTGCTGTTGGGAGTCTGTATAATATTCTTTATTTCAGTCAGTGTATGCTTAATTTCTAGTTGGTCCTTTATCACAACATCGAGGGTCTCATTAGATTTCTTGTAGGTCTCATTATCGGCAGTTTTTAGAAAATTCTTGAAAAACCTTAAAAGTATGGTTTTAAACTCTATATCCAGTAGTTTGCTTTCCTCCATTTCTGTTATTTGTGCCCTTTTTCTTTGTCTCTGCATTTCTTATGCTTCCCTGTGTTGATAAAGTGGTTTTCTGTGCTGAGTGTCCTCTAGGACCCAGTGGTTCAGCCTCCCCAATTACCTGAGGTGGACACTCTTGGTGTACCCCCTTGTGGGCTTTGTGCACAGTCTTGTTGTAGTTAAGCCTTGATTGTTGTAGTTATCACTGGGAGGAATTGACCTCCAGGCCAATTGGCTGTGAGAATCAGCTGTGTCTGCAGTGGAAGAACTTCTGTGCTGGAGACACCCCTCTGGGGCTTTGGTGCTCACTGAGTCTTCCCCCTGAGTGTGTCTTTTACGGTTCCACAGAGCTGCAAACTGGATGGTCCCACTCTGACCTCTGGGCTTCCTGGCTCCTGGATCTCTAGGGAGGTGCTAATGTTGCCTTTGCCTGAGGCTATCCAGCAAAAGTCTCCCTGCAGGGCTTGGGCGGGGCGGGTCCCACGGGATCAATAGGGCGGGGCTAGCAGTTATGGCTGCTCTCAGTCTTGCCCTCAGAGGCTCTGCTTCTCAGTATCCTGGTAATCGCTGCAAGCCCCTCGGAGAGAAAGCTGCCCTCGAGTTCCGACCCATGCCAGACAGTCCCGCTTCTCCCGTATGAGTCTGGGTCCCCAGAGACTCGCCCGGAACTGTAGCTCAGAGCCTGATACTCCCGATTGAAAACGACAACCGCGCCCTCAGCCACCAGCCCGCTCCGCATGCACCCCCGCACCTTAGTATTTTACTACCACACTGCGCCTCCTCTGAGTCTCGGTATGCTTTTCTCTTTCCTTCTAGTTGTAGAATTTCCACTCAGCCAGCCTTCCTGTGGTTCTGGATGATGTCCGTTCTGTCTTTTAGTTGTATTTTTGAAGTGGTTGTTCGAGGCAGCAAACTCCGGTGTTTACCTATGCCGCCATCTTGGTTTCCTCCGAGACAATTCTTGCTCTGTGATATGCAATAGTGTTTCATGCTTCTCATTGCATGACATATTAACATGATGGATGTCTTTTCAAGAGTTGAGATTTAATAAAATTCATAAATTTTATTGCTTCATTAAATATTTTAAGTGAGATTTGATTTTATTTGGTGTGTGTGTGTGTATTGTGGTGAGCAATATGGTCAATATTAGTATTTTAGAGCAACTGCCTAAATTTGTGATAATGTGCCTGCAGTTTTAACAACCATTATTTTTACCCCATTTTTTGTTTGTTTTGATTTTGTAAAGGCTATATTCACTTTACTTTTTAAAAATATTTTAATTGATTTTATAGAGAGGAAGGGAGAGGAATAGAAACATCGAAGAGAAACATCGTCCTTTGGCTGCCTCCTGCATGCCCCCTACTGGGAATCAAGTCAGAAACCCAGGCTTGTCCCCTGACCGGGAATGAAACTATGACCTCCTGGTTCATGGGAGGACCCTCAACTAATTGAACCACACTAGTCAGGCTGTGTTATTCTTTTTTAATTTTTATTTATTTTATTTATTTCAGAGAGGAAGGAAGAGGGAGAGAGATAGGAACATCAATGATGAGAGAGAATCATTGATCGGCTGCCCCACACTGGAGATCGAGCCCGCAACCCAGGCATGTGCCCTGATGGGGAATGGAACCATGGCCTCCTGGTTCTTAGGTCGATGCTCAACCACTGAGCCACGCCAGCTGGGCTTTTTTTATTTTTATTGATTTCAGAGAGGAAGGGAGAGGGAGAGCTAGATAGAAACGTAATGATGAGAGAATCTTGATCAGCTGCCTCTTGCATGCCCACTACTGGGGATCAAGCCCATAAGCCAGTCATGTGCCCTGATGGGGAATGGAACCATGACCTCCTGGTTCATAGGTCAACACTCAACCACTGAGCCACACCGGCTTGGCTGTGTTATTCTTTTAAAATATTGCTTTGGCTACTCTCAGTTTCTTAAATTTCCATACAAATTTTATGATAAACTTGTCTAATTTGGAGAGCATTCATTTGAAACGTTGATAGGAGTTGTGTTGAATCTGTAGATCAATTTTGGGGAATACTGCCATTGTAAAAGTATTGTTTTCCAATCCACAAACATGAGATGTTACCCTTTCTCCTCCTTTCCCCTTTCTCCTGCCTCTTCCTTCCACCCTCTCAACTGTTACTGTTACAAGGTGGCCAAATAAGGAGTGAAGCGGTACACCAACTCTTGCCTCACAAAGCCAGAAAGTTGTCTTCACATTTTCGGGGCCTCTGGTAACCCACAGCCCTTATCGCATAGGCAGTATCCCACAAATAGCAGCGGCCAGCGAGGACTGCTTTTAAGGTGCAGCCTTGTGGTTGCCATGGGCCAACCACTCCCTAGGAAGGTCCTTGGCAGTGTGTTTACCTCCTGGTGTCTGGCAGGAAGTTGGCATCGTCGTTATGGAGACGGAAGATGCTGAAACCAGCTACTTCCTGGTGGCACTGAGAAGTGAAGTCTGCCAGATTCTCTCCTCCTCCGTCCAGGCCACCCTCGCTGGATATTTTCCAGGTTCTGCCTGGAAGGCAAACCAAGTCGAGTATCTTTTTCCTCTTGGAAAAGGCGAGGTCTAAATACAACTCCATTTTATACAGCTAATTGAATCTTACAATAGGTATACAGGCCTGGTTAGATCTTACTTGGTTTTAGGGGCACAGTGGGGCTTTCTTAGCATGTCTGGAAGATTTTTCTTATTTCGCTATTTATTGTACCGGCTTACATAAGGATGGGCAGGCAGGACTACCTCCCTTGGAGCAGGCCAGAGGTGGCCGGAGTCAGGGTGGCGCCACAGTGCCCTTAGCCCCCAGCCGCCTCCCAGGGCAGCCGTAGCCCTACCCCCCCTTCTGGCCCCCTCCGCTGAGGTCTGCTGCCTCCGCTATGGCATTGGTAGGAGGAGCTCCAACCGGAGATCGGGGGCACTCCAAGAGCTCGGCATCCCCTCAAAAGTCGCGTCTGGCGTGGGGTCCCTCGGCCCCATGGAGATGTGTCCAGCTTCTGAACCTGCTTCCCGGAGGATGGGTTTCCAAACAGAAATCCCACTACCCTGGGCGGTCAGCCCTCACCTGGAGCAGGAGGTGCCTCGGCTCAGCGACAGGAGACTTGGCTGTCCCAGGGAGACCCCTGCAGGCGCTGTCCATAGCCAGTATGGCGCTCAGCGGAAAACCCCGTTTCCCGGTGGGGGCTGCGCACCTTCCTGGGCCGGGATCTGCAGCCGGCCACCGGCTGCTCTTCACCTTCACAGCGAAACCCAGGTGTCCCAAGTAGATCCCAGGAAAGGATCTGGAGTGTTTATCTCTAAGGCATCCCTTGAGATAAACTTTAACCGTGCAGGTGTGAGACATTCAAGTAGTTGCTAGCAAAGAGGCTGCTCTACGCAAGCAGGACCAAGGGCAGGTCTAGGAACGAAAAGACCAGAAGCTTTAATTTTAATATTAAGCATACGCAAAATAATTCAGTTAACTGCCGGAGGAATTACACCACATGAAACATATGCTGTTGCAAATCACACAGCACTTTATTACTCACACAAGTTCCTGATGCTGCAGGTACAGGTTTAAAGGGGATCCCGGTGGTGCTGTCCTCTGGGGTCTGGCAGCTGGGCTGGTCCGGTCCGATGCAGGGGGCTGGTGTTCCTCACCGGAGACCTCGGTCATGTCTCGATGGAGAGGTACTAGCCGTTCTTCTGTCGTCTGGCAGAGAGAGGAGCGTGGAACAGCGTCGCTTGCTGGACTGAGAAAAGGACGTGCCTTTGTGGCTGTTTTGACAGGCGAGCACCGTTGGCTGGTCAGGACCCATTTTTAAAGCCTGTTGCGCAGTAGTAGTTCAGGTGGCTATCAATGAATTACGTAGGCACACGTTAATCTCAAACAGGGCGAGGGCCTACATGTGACCATCTAGGAAGAGTCCATCACTCACTCAAATGGTTATCCTGACAAGTCACTCTGAGTTATTTACTGAAGTTCAAATCCTTATCTATGAGGTACACATGCTTCCGAGCAGTGGGGAATGTGTCCTTAATATCACACTTTAAGTTTTCAGGAAAGTTAACTCAAACATTTTAAAACCTTTTAAACATTTTTTAGACATTTTTAAACATTTCTATATTTTACTACAACACCAGGTCAGCCTATGGAGAGTTTAGCTAAGCTACACCATGGACTTGCTGCCGCCACATCCCTTTTTTTTTTGGCCAAGTGGCTTGTAGGGACCTTAAAACTGACACTGGCCCTCTCATTCAGGTGTATGCCCAAGATAGTAGCCACAGTCACAAGCAAATGTAAATTCCTGACATGACCTCACCAACAGCCCTGGTAATAACACTCTCCCCTGCCTCCCAGTGCCTGTATGTCTTATGCACCCCTTAGATAAGACCTCAGTGGGGCTTACCAAAACCCCGCTCTTTCGAATTGACCAACCCAGCCCTAGCCAGGTAACCCCAAAGCACTCCACTCAGGGTCCCTAATAAAGACAGGTAGCCCAGGTCCTGCCTCTCGGCACTCTTCCTGGACCTCCCGCTGTGGCCCCTGGAGGAATGCAGTGTACTTCCTCCAGGCCCTGTAAGAAACTTCTGAAGTCCAGTTTTTCTTGTGGGGGATAGGAGGGTGGCTCACCACCCAGCACCCTGTGCTCCCTTTGGCAAATCTTATTTTAAAAAGTCGTAAGATAGTGGCATAAGGAGCCTAGAACCAAACCACCGACATCCCCCTCAAGGACTCACCCCTTTGCCCCCAGGTGGGAAGAGGCTGATCACACAGCTGGCTCAGGTCCAGGGACAGGTGGAAGGAGCAGTGTCCCCAGATGGGAAGGGGTGACCTCACAGAAGTCACGAAGGGCATCAGCGGATGGTGACACAACAGGGAGCAGGAGGCTGAGGAAACCCTGCCTCATTGAGAGGCCGGAATCTGTGCCCCATCAGGAATAGGTGTCACCTAGCTCTTAAATAAAGGATTTTTTGAAAAATCATTTATAATGCTAGAGAGAACATGGCAAATATAAGGGTTATTATTTTCATTTGAATGTTTTCCTTTAATAAAAATGTGAGAAGAGGGAAGTCCCTGATTTTTTTTCTACCACTACAGTATTTCAAGATCACTTACCACTCTTCCTTAATAAGGTAACTGATTTTTAAAAATTGGTTCAAGAGAGAGGAAGGGAGAGAAAGAAACATTGATTTTTTGTTCCACTTATACATGCATTCATTGGTTATTTCTGGTATGTGCCCTGACTAGGGATTAAACCTGCAACCTTGGCATATCAAGACGATGCTCCAACCACCTAAGCTACCCAGACAGCACTGTACAAGCAGCTTCCTCAATCTCAGGAAGAATCTTTGCGCCAGACCCTTCTTTTTTAAAATATACTTTTATTGATTTCAGAGAGGAAGGGAGAAGGAGAGAAATAGAAATATCAATGATGAGAGAGAATCATTGATCGGCTGTCTCCTGCACACCCCTCACTGGGGACTGAGCCCACAACCAGGGCATGTGCCCTGACTGGGAATCAAACCATGACCTCCCGGTTCATAGGTTGATGCTCAACCACTGAGCCCTGCCAGACTCCCTTTCTTAGGGTGTTTAGTACCCTTTGTTGGACCATGTTATTGATTGTACTATTTATCAGTGGCATGTTAAAACTTGCATGGTTTGTGTAAAACAACACAGTTAGGAATTGCAGATATGAAGAGCTTTACCCAATTGCGGAGCAAAACAGCCACTGGTATGCATATTTCTGACCACATGCTGAGATCCAACAGGCACTTTGCTAATTGGGTACAGATACATCACTCAGTCCGGCAGTGGAGACGATGTAGGCGGGTCCTGGTGGGAGGACATGGAAACATGGTCTCTTCTACTTGTCCTGGGAAGGAATATAGGGAATGCTGCTATGCAGAGCCTGTCAATATTCTATGGCAAGCAGCATTCCCTTGGTCTCCTTCATAACAACAGTCTTTCCAGTCAGCCATCCTTCCTCCGATGTCCAGGTCTTCAGTGCCAGTTCAGCCAAGCAGCTCTCAGGTTTGAGCTGATCGCATAAAGCAGTCATGGAAGCCTGGGAAAAGGCTGAGACATGGGCATGACGCCCACTTCTCCATCACCGTCCAGACTGCGCTCCAAGAGATGCAGTGCTGGTTCCGCGTCTCACGCAGGTTCATGGCCAGCTCAGAGCCCAGATCTCCTGCTCCCCAGCCTTGTGTCTCTCTGGGACATGCACACCCCATGGCCCTCTTGGTGTCTTCAAGACCCAATTCTGATTTTCCAGGGACACAATTTATACATTAAAGCCAACTCATGGACGCTATTTCTCAGAGGTAGGGTAGGTGGGGAAGTCATCTGCCAAACCTACTTACAGACGTACCGGAGCACACTCCACTCTTAACTGGAGCCTTGACTGTGGCTCAGTTGGGCTGGGCCTGGGGGCGGGAACATCTGGAGAAATCGCGGAGTCTTGCACATTCCCAATTCCCGCGTTTTACCAGGATCACCACGCTGGGAATGGGGCCCTTCACCTCCTGCAGCTACACAGTCTCAAACGGCCGGATATCTTCAGGTAAAAGAACAGGAAGTGGACTTTGTCGCCATGGGAACCGAGGACGCCTATTGGGGTTGAATTGCTGAGTCTGCGCAGTCCTCACCTAACTTTTGGTCACGCCCCCAGTCTCCGTTGTTCGCTACTCTCGGGTTTGGATAGAAAGGTGGAGACTCAGAAAATTGATTTTGGTGAATACCGCCTCCTTTCCCATGGGAAACTCACGATGTAGTTGGAGACATGACATAAAATCAAACAATTTCAGTAATTTTAAAAAGTACCGTTAAATGACAGAGGAATACAAATTTCACACAAATCTGACCCAGTCAAAAGGGATCAAGGGAAGTTGCCTGCAGAGAGAATCATTGAGCTAAATTTTGAATGATGATTTGGAATTATTCAGAGAGGCCAAAAAGGGCTTGTGAGCTGAAGGAATCTAGACAGAACAACATCGTGAGCAGCACGATGTACCGGCGGGAGGGCTGGCAGGCACACAGAAGTGGCAGCCACCACTAACAGCTATGCTGCTGAGGGGTTAACTGCCAGGTAAAAGGGGCTGGTTGCTGAGGCTGGTGAGCTAGGCAGGAGCCAGGACAACGGTGGACTAGGATGTCATGCTAGGGAACCATGAATACACTTTTGTCACAGAAGCCGTGAGTCCTGCTCAGTCAGGTGGACGTGCAGGACCAGGAGCTGGGCAAAACTTAAAGAGCACAACAGATAGTGGATCAGACAATCCAGACACTTCATTGTGGAGGATAAGTAGTTTGTCGATGAAAGGTACAGATGCAGTGGATACTGTACTGCACCATCCTGACCCCACTGAGGGACATATTCACCCAGCTGCAGGCAGTGTTGCTAAGAAATTCACCAAGAGGCTTTATGGAGAACCAAAAGCAGACACCCAAAAAAATGTTCACTGGAAACAGTGCTAGAAGCAAATGGATTAAAGTCAGAGATGTTTAATTGTATTAAATTACTTATCAATGGGCTGGTCAGAGCTGGAAGGTTTATTTTTTAAAAGCCTGGGGGAGAAGAAGTTAATCACACAGTGAACAAAGGGCAGAATTTAATGAGCAAAGTCCTGGACAAAGTGGGGAGATTAGTCTTTAAGGGGAGGATGTCTGCCTGTTCCCTAAGAGTAGGAGGGAAGATAAAAGGGGGTTCAGCATTTCTAGTTTTGTCCCTGGAAGTCTGAAGATGTCTATTTCTAAATATATCTATATCTGCAAATCAAAACGACAATGAGATACCATCTCACACCTGTCAGAATGGCTATCATCAACAAACGACAAGTACTGGCGAGGATGCGGAGAAAAAGGAATCCTCCTGTACTGCTGGTGGGAATGCAGACTGGTGCAGCCACTGTGGACAACAGTATGGCGTTTCCTCAAAAAGTTAAAAATGGAACTCCCATTTGATCCAGTAATCCCACTTCTAGGAATATATCCTAAGAAAACAGAAACACCAATCAGAAAGGATATATGCATCCCTATGTTCATAGCAGCACAATTTACAATAGCTAAGATTTGGAAACAGCCTAAGTGCCCATCAGCAGATGAGTGGATTAGAAAACTGTGATACATCTACATAATGGAATACTATGCTGCTGTAAAAAAGGAATTCTTACCATTTGCAACAGCATGGATGGAGCTGGAGAGCATTATGCTAAGTGAAATAAGTCAGAGAAAGATAAATATCACATGATCTCACTCATTTGTGGGATATAATGATCAACATAATTTGATGAACAAGAATAGATCCAGAGGCAAATGGTAGGGGAGGGGGAGTTAGAGAGCAACCAAAGGACTTGTATGCATGCATATTAGCGTAACCAATGGACACAGACATTGGGGCAGTGGGGGCTTGCCCAGGGTGGGAATGGCTGGGAGGGGGGCCATTTGGGGGAAAAAGGAGACATATGTAGAACTTTAGAGAATAAAAAATAAATAAAATGACTTTCATCTAAAAAATAAATAAATATATCTATATCATCTTTGAAATCAAAGTCCAAGACAATTTCTGGGCTTGAAGGGGTTAGATTTAAGTGGGAGTTGAGACTGAGAAGATAATGTGGTCCATACGTAGCCTGTTCTTTATCTTTTTATATATTGGGGCCCATTTCCTTTGGGTGTGTCTGAAACTGTGTATAGTTGAACTGTGGTTTGTCTGTTTGTTTGTTTTAAAATCTAAGAATCTTTCTATCATGTCGAGTACTAAAGCTATTAACTTACATTGTTATAGTCTGCAAGTCAGCACCAGAAGTTGGTGTGAGATTCAGGGCTCAGGAGCTCTTACACATGCCTAGATGTGGGTTGAATGAGGTAGGGCAATGCTGGGATGGGAGGAGTCAGAAGGCATGTACCAGAGGACTGGGTCCCATGGGAGTTAGAATTGGGAAGTGACTAAGCCACATGAGAATTATATAAATTTTATAGGCTACAGGCCTCCAGAAGAGCAGGGATTAGATAACCATTTTGTGTTTTCAAGGTGATTGAAAGATTCTATTACTAGTATCTAAAATTAAAAGTTTCTAAGATTCAAGTGTACAATCTATAGCTTAAAAAATAAGGCTTGCCAAGCTGGTGTTGCTCAATGGTTGAGTATTGACCCATGAACCAGGAGGTCATGGTTCAATTCCAGGTCAGGGCACATGCCCAGGTTGTGGGCTCGATCCTCAATAGGGGGCTTGCAGGAGGCAGCTGAATGATTCTCTCTCATCATTGATGTTTCTATCTCTTTCTCCCTCTCCTTTCCTCTCTCTGAAATCAATTTTAAAAAGAAACATATCTGAAGAATAAGGTTTATGCTAGAGCATAAAACTACAGTAAGCAAGACAGTATAGTATTTGTAAAGGGATAGATATATCCATTAATGTAAAAGAATAGAAAGTCCAGAAATAGACTCATTCACATATGACCAATTGATTTTTTGCAAAGACAACAAAGGCAATTCAAAGCAGAAAAGACAGTATTGTTCAACAAATAATGTTGGGACAGTTGGACATCCACAAACAAAAAAACAAAAATGAACCTCAACCCAAACCTCACAACATACACAAACAGTTTCTGAAAATGGACCATACATCTAAATGTAAAAGATGAAATTATAAAACTTTTATAAGGAAACAGGAGAAGCATAAAAGAAAATCGTCCTGACTTGGTGGCAAGCAGAGTTTTAGACATCACATCAGAAGTATGATACATTAAAGAAAAAATTGATAAACTAGATTTCATTAAAATTAAAAACTTTTGCTCTATGACTGACACTGCTCAGAGAATGAAAAGATAAGATAAAGGCTGGGAGAATATCCAGGGGTGGGCAAAAGTAGGTTTATAGTTGCATTATGACATTCTTTTGACTTAATAAAGCTATTGTTATCATCACAACCTGCATGTTGTGTTCCATATGAACAACTATAAACCTATTTCTACCCACCCTGTATCTGAAAAGCACAGGTCCAACAAAGGACACCCACCTACTACACTATATATAGAACTCTCAAAACTCAACAGTAAGAAACCAAAACAACCCAATCTTAAAAATAGGCAATCGATTTGAATAGATTTGAACAGACTTTCCAGTCAGTTCATGAAAAGATACTCAACATCACTAGGCTTTAGGGTGTGATGGTAAAGGGACAAAGGAGTTGTCTTGAGATGCTGGAACTCGTCTGGGTCCTAACTGATGATGGCATTTACACAATCAATACATTTGTTAAACCTGTAAAAAGTCAATTTTACTGTATTTTAATTTTAAAAAATATACATTTACAATTTAACCCCAAATAAGTAAGCATTCTATGTCTGACCACCAAAGGTGACACGTTCTGTTTCTTTAACCACAGTCCAATTTCTCTGTGATGTCTCTTCAGGTGTCAGTGGTTTACCTATATTTTAAAATGGCAGGGCTTATCAGTTTTGCCTACCGTACATTGGTAGTACCTGCTGCTTCATTTGTCACAGATTTGGTATTCATAGTGGGCGCTGTGAATGGTCAACTTATCATTTCAACCATTGTGCAACAAATTGCAAAAAACAGCCATTATCCATGTTGAAAGGGGGAGGGTTGTGGGTTACGGTTGGATTGAGTGGGGGTTAAGGTTAGCTTTGGGTGACACTCCGTGAGGGGAGGAAACCCCGAGCAGGGGCTGTTTACAGCGAATGCTGGGGATGGTCCGCACTGAGCCATTTTTATTCTCAGAAGCAGGACCTGGACCCTATGTTTATTTATAGACAGGTGGAGTAATGAGAGTTTCCATTTTATTCTTTGTGACTTTTCTGTGTTGTTCAAAGTTTCAATTTAAAGTATGTTCTCCTTTAGTAGTAATAAAATGCAAGTGCTAACAAAGAAGATAGTGAAATTTTGCTTGACAACCTTTAGAGCAGGTGGACTTCCTTCCTACCTTGGCCACGTATCCCTGAGTTTGCAGTGTGTTTTGCTGGTGCTCTCAAGAACGGCGCTGCCCTGCCATCTAGTGCCCAGGCGGCTAGGGAGCCTTCCAACTGGCATGTCCATAAAGTAAATATCTGTTTTATCAAGTTTGAAGAAGACAACTAATATACAGTGTTCTAGGTACATCTTTGGTTTGGTTATAGTCTCAAACTGTTATATTGGACTTGTCCATTTTTCTTTCATTTGTATCAGTTTTTGCCTCACATATTTTTTTTCTTGAGTTTATTAGGGTGACATTGTACTTAGTGCCTTGATACTTTCTTCTTCCTGTTTATAAGTCCCACAATAAAAGGCTTTGTTCCCGTGAAAGGAATTTAGTTTTAAATAAGTACGTGTGAGGAGAGTAAGAGATTTAAAAAATGTATCAACCAAATAACAAAGTTTAAATCTTGTTTGGATTCAAATTCAAAAAACCCAACAGTTTTAAAAAGAAACACTTTTAATACAATCATGGGAAATTGAACATTGACTGGATATTTGTTATTCAGGAATAACTGCTAAAATATTTACCTGTAAAAATACTAAATGGTAATTTTAAAGTGTCTATTTTAGGAGA